AGAGATTGGATTGGAGAGATTAGATTGGATTAGTTTAGATTGTATTGTATTTTAGTGCCTTTATATGCTCGGTTAAGCTCATTGCCAATCTTATGCAATTGCACTGTGTGTGGCAGATTGCGTGCAGATTGTAAAAGGTAACAGATCTGCCAGATGGAGATCTGTGTGTGTGTGGTTTCCCAACAGACCGTTCTGCGGATAAACTGTTGGGTGGTGGCAGGCTACCGTTTGTGGTGTGTCTGGTGTGGGGGGGGGGGGTGTGGACAGTGGAAGAGTGATTAACACCGGGGTTCTAGCTGTAGGATAGCTGGAGGAACCTAGAAGGGTGTGTGATTGCTGGGCTGCTCCTCAACCCTTAGTGTGCACCAGATTGTATATAAGATTTGTATCTGCCAGTGTGTGTGGTCAGCTGCCAGGATTGGAGTGGAGTCTCCCTCCGGTGGTGGCCAAGAGGTAGTGCGGGCTGTGAAAGTGTATCACGGCTGATCTTATATACGTATATATACAAAGTTGAGTCCCCCTTATTCCCTCTTGCCCCAACCCTCACGGCGCGTCCGGTTACGTGTCGTGTGCGCGTCTCGGTTAGCTAGTCGCTGTGGGCGTGGCGTGTGGGGTGAACCGTGACAACTCCGTTTCCCCTTCCCAACCCTTGCAAACCCCTGTGCCTATTATGGGTCAAGTCACCTCTCTTTTATAAAAAAAGTTCAGGCCGCACACCACTGCTCTGTATTGCCTTATAAAAACTTTATTTAAACAAGTTAACAAGGTGCCCCACAGACTGTTTTTTGACCTGTTCCATCCCCTAGAGGGGCTTAATAGTAAAGTCTTTACCAGAAGCGTAACTAGAACCTTCAGGGCCCCAGTGCAAGATACCTTGAAGGGCCCCTTTGATGCATCTTTTTTTTCAAACTATATAACACTCAAACATTTCTCCTCAAAATTTCCACTTTGCAGAAAAGCTGAAAGCTGCTGACGGCTGGGATTGTCTCCCTGTAGGTCAGACATGGAAATGCACCTCATTGTAATGGCCTCTGTCCAGGGAGCCTATTCTGGCACATGGGGGAGGTATAAAGTGGCCAACAGATGGGCTCTGATTGGCCGATGGTGAGGGAGACCTGCCAAGTCCGCAATCATAGATGGAGACGTAGCCTGCATTGTCTTGGCCCCCCGTGCGTGCCAACACTTGTTCAGCTTAAGGACCATGCTGGAATTAGCGATGGCGGCACACACAGGGACCTGAGCAGGGAAGTCGTTTAACCTATGTCTCTGCTCCGGTCTTGGGACTCTTGCCTCTGATCGAGGGGCCCGTTCCACTGCTCCCTCCCAGGTGCCCTTTCCAACAGTTCAGGGAACTTTCATTAGTCCAGGGGCCTCACTGTAATGGCCGCTGTCCAGGAGCCTTATTCTGGCACATGGGGGAGGTATAAAGTGGCCAACAGATGGGCTCTGATTGGCCGATGGTGAGGGAGACCTGCCAAGTCCGCAATCATAGATGGAGACGTAGCCTGCATTCTCTTGGCCCCCCGTGCGTGCCATCACTTGTTCAGCTTAAGGACCATGCTGGAATTGGCAATGGCGGCACACACAGGGACCTGAGCAGGGAAGTCGTTTAACCTACATCTCTGCTCCGGTCTTGGGACTCTTGCCTCTGGTTGAGGGGCCCATTCCACTGCTTTCCAACAGATCAGGGACCCTTTCCATCACTGCCGTTCCACTGCTCCCAGGGCCCTTTCCAACAGTTCAGAGACCCTTTCCATCAGTCCCGGGGCCCTTTTCGCTGGTCCCCAGGCCTTTCCCTCTGAGCCCGGGGCCCTTGCAGCTAGGCCTGGGACCTTTTCTCTGGGCCGGGGGATCTTCCAAATAATCCTAGGCCTTTTATTATGGCTCCTTTCACATGTCCCTTCCCACCATCCTGCCTCCCCCATGGGGATGAAATGTCAGGCCAGTTGCTAGTGCAACCTTTGCAGCCCTGGTAGTTCCACCACTGGTTCTACAAGCCTTTGGAGAACCTCAACCATTTGTGTCAATAAAGTTGGATTAGGAGTGTGCAGCCCGGCCTGTTCTCCTTGCACCCAGCCAGGCTTTGATTGACTACATTAAACTTTGCCGGCACTTGGAGATGAGGAGTTGCATACTTGCCAAGGATATGCAGCGCCATTGATACGTATTGTTAGTCTTGGATTGTATCTCTGAGGACGCATGTAAGAACACTAATGGTGATTTCTGCACATGAAACAAACCAGCTTTGGCAGGCGAGTCTGGAGCTACTTCACCTGCAGGAACTTGGGATACAAAAACACTTTGCGTGGTATAATAAAGCATGGCTGCCGCAGGGAGCTGTACAGTCTTAGGCTTTGATGTCTGCCGGGAAGTTTCGAGAGTCTCTTTTCTCTGAAAACGTGATGATCACAGGGAGAGTCTCTCTGTTTGCTCTTTTGTTGGTTTTTTTTTTGATTGTTTGATTATAATCTGCATTCTTTGATTGCTAATTTTTTTTCTTTTTTTTCTCATTAAAGCTAAGTATAGACAGTAGATGGCAGTCCAATGTTAGGAAACAATCAAGCAGCTGTACAATATTTCTTGTTCTTGGAGACTGATGGCAGAGTTTCTGGTAAGCCAATGGCACGAAAAACTGCAACCTTTTCATAGTTACATAGTTAGTCTGGCTGAAAAAAAGACAAAAGTCCATCCAGTTCAACCATATGTGACGGGACTCACTTTGGGTGGGGGGCCCATGGAACACTGCTCACTTTGGAGAGGTGGGGAGACCCCTGTCTCAGCTCCCCATATCCTTCTTATGTGTAAATCCCCCTGTGCCTGTTAGGGGTACAGGGTGACCTGTCCTAATATTGTGTAGACATGTCTAGGAGCAGGGGCAGACTGATCATTTGGAAATTCGGGCACTGCCCGAGAGCCCGGGGTCAGTAGGGGGGCCCCATGAGATGCCCCTGGTACCTTTTTCATAGGCTTTTTTGAGCTTGGGCAAGGACACAAGGGCCCCATGATCCCCGTTTGCCCGGGGGCCCCATGAGTTGTCAGTCCGCCCCTGTCTAGGAGATAGGTGGGGTAGGGGTTGTGGATTGTTTGGTGTTGTGTGGCTGCATCCCATTGTTCTATTGTTTGTCTGGCTTGGGAGCAAACTATTATGGGATGTATGTGTTTGTGTATTGGCTTGGTGGGGGGTGTCTCCAGCAGCCCTCCCTCCTGATGGGACTGTCTGTTGGTGTGTCTCTTGTTACTGAATGTAGATTGCCCCGCCCTGTGTCATTATGCAGGGAGGGGGGTTGTCCCCTGAGTGTATAAATCCTACACCCACAGTTGATCCAGAGGAAGGCAAAAAAAAAATCCCCAGCAAAGCACGATCCAATTTGCTCCTGCAGGGGAAAAAAACTCCTGCCTGATCCCCCGAGAGGCAATCAGATATTCCCAGGATCAGCTTTCCCTATAAATGTTCTATCCAGTTATATTCTGTGTATCCAAGAAAGAATCCAGGACTTTCCTACAGCAATCCACTGAGCCGGCCACAACCACCTCTGGAGGGAGTCTATTCCACATTCTCACAGCTCTCACTGTGAAGAAACCTTTCCGTGTTTGGAGATTCCATTTCTTTTCCTCCAGATGTAAAGAGCGCCCCCTTGTCCTCTGTGATGACCGCAGGGGGAATAACTACACCGAGTTCACTATATGAACCACTGATGTGGTTCTTTCTTGACTTTTGGAAACTTATGGCATAATATCTGGATTGTGGAATACAGTAGTTGGCTGTCTGTAAGCAAAATCTGGCAATGAGCTTTCTCTTAGTTCTTGACCATTGGAGACTAACGGCACAGTGTCTGGACTGGGGAACAGTAGGCTACATGTAAAGCTAAACATGGCTACCTTCTCATTAAACATTAATACCTTCTCTTCCAGTCCTCGTCGGCTGTTCTTTACTTTTAACTCTCCACTTTCTCCGCCTCCACCCCCACCCCCAGCACCTCACTCACTGCCCACGAGATTGCACACCACTTCCAAAACAAGATTGACGCAATTCGTAGGGACATCGCCACCACACAGACACCCACCCCGCTTAGCATTCCTCTTACCAAACCTCCCTCAACACTTTCCTCCTTTGACCTCGCTACCACCGAAGAGGTCACTAAGGTCTTCCCAGAAGCCCGCCTCACCACCTGCCCCCTGGACACTGTCCCCTCCCATTGGTTACCCTCTTCTTCCATCCTATGCTCCCTCACCCACATCTTCAATTTCTCCCTCTCTACTGGCGCATTCCCCTCCCCCGTAAAGCATGCACACATCACCCCCATACTTAAAAAAACCTCCCTAGACCCCACCAACATGAACAACCTCAGACCCATCTCCCTGCTGCCATTTACCTCTAAACTCTTAGAACGCTTAGTCTACAATCGCCTGAGCTCCTCCCACCTCACTGACACCAACCCTCTCAACCCTTTACAGTCTGGCTTCCGCCCCCTACACTCCACTGACACCCCCCCCCCCCACACTAAAGCTCTCTAATGACCTACTAACTGCTAAAACCAATGCCCACTTTCAATACTCCTACTCCTCCACCTCTCTGCAGCTTTTGACACGGTTGACCATCCCCTCCTCTCTCAAAAAACTCCACTCTCTTGGCATCAGGGACTCCGCTCTCTCCTGGTTCTCCTCCTATCTATCGCAGAGCTCCTTCAGTGTTACCTATAACGCTGCCACCTCCTCTTCACTCCGTCTTTCTGCAGGGGTCCCTCAAGGTTCTGTCTTTGGACCCCCTTCTCTTCTCCATCTACACCTCCTCCCTTGGTCACTTCATAAACTCCCACAGCTTCAACTTCCATCTCTATGCTGATGACACACAAATCTATCTGTCTACCCCTCACCTCACCCCTTCAGTCTCCTCCTTACCTCACCCCTTCAGTCTCCTCCTTACCTCACCCCTTCAGTCTCCTCCTTACCTCACCCCTTCAGTCTCCTCCTGACATCACCCCTTCAGTCTCCTCCTGACATCACCCCTTCAGTCTCCTCCTTACCTCACCCCTTCAGTCTCCTCCTGACATCACCCCTTCAGTCTCCTCCTGACATCACCCCTTCAGTCTCCTCCTGACATCACCCCTTCAGTCTCCTTCCGCATCGCTAGCCTACTAAGTGACATATCGGCATGGATGTCACTCCACTCCCTCAAACTCAACCTTTCCAAAACTGAGCTCTTAGTATTCCCCCCAGCCCCCGTGCCCCCCCCCTGACTTCACCGTAAATATCGATAACACCATCCTCAGTCCCTCCCCTCACGCCAGGGTACGAGGTGTAATCCTAGACTTCCACCCCACCCCCCCCCCCCCCTCCCAACCCCCCCCCCCCCGCAACATCTCCAACCTCCGCAACATCTCCCTCCACTGGCCTCCACTCAGTGTCCTCCACCCCTCTCTGCCAATCCCTCCACTGACCTCCATTCAGTGTCCTCCACCCCTCTCTGCCAATCTCTCCACTGACTTCCACTCAGTGTCCTCCACCCGTCTCTGCCAATCCCTCCACTGGCCTCCATTCAGTGTCCTCCACCCCTCTCTTCCAATCCCTCCTCTGGCCTCCACTCAGACTGAAGAGTTGAGGTGAGCAAGAGACTGGAGGGATGAGGTGAGGAGTAGAGAGATAGATTTGTGTATCATCAGCATAGAGATGGTACTGGACGCCATGGGACATTATCAAGTGACCAAGGGAGGAGGTGTAGATGGAGAAGAGAAGGGGCCAAGGACAGAAATGATCCATGGAGGCCCCACCTCCCAACTTAAAGGATCCGCTACTGACTTCTTGGTGCCAGGAACCCCAGCGTACCTTCAGGAGGTCTAGTGGAGTCCATGCCTGGCCGGGTTCTAGTCAGTGGCCATCGGTGAATGGTGCAATGATGTTTTGAAGTTCTTGCTGGTGTGCAGTGAAAGGTTCTGCTTAAAAAGTCATATTACAGATTCCAGGTTTGAATATTGGACCAACTATTACCATACCTGAGGGATCCCTCTAGAGGCTGGAATTCAGTGTAGTAGTCACCACTACTACACCACTACGAAAGTGATTTCCGGGTTCCCTGCAAGGCAGCTGCATTCTGAGCACAGTAGGTCGATCACTTGGCATAGGCGGCATTCGGGGAACGCTTTGCACTTCCTGAATGGATACAAAGCATTCTCTGAATGGACGAGGTGCAGTGACATCACAGCCTCCACCTCTTCCAATCAGAGAATGCGTTATAGTAAAAATGACCTAACATTTATACCACATTACAACTCCAGCATCAAATAAGTCGCTCAGTCAAAGTAACAATACAAAAAAATCAGCTTTTGATGCAGCACTCGCCTTGAATGCAGAGCCTCATTGCTTACACTAGGTGTCACCAGTCTTCTGGGTTTAATGACAGCCACTATTTAACCCACTTCTTCTGAGCCCGAGCTGTCAGGGACCCGCCCACAGGGAGTTCATCATCACAGCTGCCTGAGCTTACTCTGCTAATGCACTCATTTTGTGCACAACGATGGACCCTCCCCCTCCACCACAATCTCCACCGCTACCTCCACCTAGACCTGCACTGCCACTGCCACCTCCACATAGACTTCCACCACCACCTCCACCTAGACCTCCACTGCCACCGCCACCTCCACCGCCTCCTCCACCTAGACCTCCACTCCACTGCCACTGCCACCGCCACCTCCACCCACCGCCACCTAGACCTCCACTGCCACCGCCCACCCACCGCCACCTAGACCTAGACCACTGCCACCACCACCTCCACCGCCTCCTCCACCTAGACCTCCACTGCCACCTCCACCTAGACCTCCACTGCCACCGCCACCTCCACTGCCACCGCCACCTCTACCTCCACCTAGACCTCCACTGCCAGCGCCACCTCCACCGCCACCTCCACCTAGACCTCCACTGCCACCACCACCTCCCACTGCCACCGCCACCTCCACTGCCACCTCCACCTAGACCTCCACTGCCACCTCCCCCGCAGGAGGGATGAAAGGTATATACTGTATGCTTGTATTATTGTACAAGTAGATTGTGTCAGAGATGATACATTGTAATGTAAATCCTGGCACCTATGAAGTCCTTGGATGTATTCACAATTGTCTGACACAGATCAGCCCCTGCTGCAGCCTCTTACAAGGTTCTGATCACTGGGGGAGGGGAGACTGAGGAAATGCCTCCTCCTCCTTCTACAAAGTTACAACGTACAGTCTGATCACTGGGGGAGGGGAGACTGAGGAAATGCCTCCTCCTTCTTCTACAAAGTTACAATGTACAGTCTGATCTAATAAATCTGCTTTACAAAATTATTGTAGATGGAAAAGAAGAAAACTTCTGAGGCATTTCCTGCGTCTCCATCCAGACCTGCACCTCATCAGCCATGCACGAGGCGTCCCCTCTATGAGCCGGGCTTTAGATGGATGAGGTACAGACTGGAGAAGTAGGAAGCCGTCAGCAGCTGGCCGCAGAACCCGCAGAACCCGCGCTGTCAGGAGCTCCAATCAGCTCGCCAATCCCTCAATCCAAACACAACGGCAGCAGCTGGCGACATTTGGCCGTCGTCTGCCCGGAAGGTGGAGTCTCTGTTCTTTTGCTCACATTTTGTATCTTTAATACTTCCAGGGAAGGAAAACATTTCTCTTCTTCGCCTGCTGCTGACGATGACAGAGAGGTGGAAAGCTGCGAAACGGTCGGCGCTCATCTGTCGTTCCTCGCCGTTTATTACCAAGGCAACCCAGTGCCAACAAATATACATCAATGTTCACCAAAAGGACATACATGACACGCATGAAGGACACACGGCCCAGAGTACCCTCTTCTCCTCCATCCAGCCCTCACATTGTATCTTCTCTTCATACACTAGAGACACTCTGCCTGGTTACTGGTCATGTGACCAACATTCATCGCCAAATACAGGAAGAGATGGAGAAGAGGGAGAGATGGAGAAAAGGAAGCGATGGAGAAGAGGAAGAGATGGAGAATAGGAAGAGATGGAGAAGAGGAAGAGAAGAGGAAGAGGAAGAGATGAAGAAGAGGAAGAGATGGAGAAGAGGAAGAGAAGGAAGAAGAGAAGAGAAGAGGAAGAGATGGAGAAGAGGAAGAGATGGAGAAGAGGAAGAGATGGAGAAGAGGAAGAGGTGAGGAAGAGAAGAAGAGAAGAGGAAGAGGAAGAGATGGAGAAGAGGAAGAGGTGGAGAAGAGGAAGAGATGGAGAAGAGGAAGAGATGGAGAAGAGGAGGAGATGTAGAAGAGGAAGAGATGGAAAAGAGGAAGAGATGGAAAAGAGGAAGAGATGGAGAAGAGGAAGAGATGGAGAAGAGGAAGAGATGGAAAAGAGGAAGAGATGGAGAAGAGGAAGAGATGGAGAAGAGGAAGAGATGGAAAAGAGGAAGCGATGGAGAAGAGGAAGCGATGGAGAAGAGGAAGAGATGTAGAAGAGGAAGAGATGGAGAAGAGGGAAGAGATGGAGAAGAGATGAAGAGATGGAGAAGAGGGAGAGAAGAGAAGAGAAGTAGAAGAGAAAGAGAAGAGAAAGAGATGGAGAAGAGGTGAGGAAGAGGAGAGAGAAGAGGAAGAGATGGAAAAGAGGAAGAGAAGAGAAGAGGAAGAGAAAGAGAAGAGGAAGAGATAGAGAAGAGGAAGAGAAACAGAAGAGTGGAAAAGAGGAAGAGAAGAGAAGAACAAGAGAAAGAGAAGAGGAAGAGGTGGAGAAGAGGAAGAGATGGAGAAGAGGAAGAGAAGGAGAAGAGGAAGAGAAGGAGAAGAGGAAGAGATGGAGAAGAGGATGAGATGGAGAAAGAGATGGAGAAGAGGAGAAGAGGAAGAGAAGGAGAAGAGGAAGAGATGGAGAAGAGGAAGAGAAGGAGAAGAGGAAGAGGTGGAGAAGAGGAAGAGAAAGAGAAGAGGAAGAGAAGAAGGAGAAGAGGAAGAGATGGAGAAGAGGAAGAGATGGAGAAGAGGAAGAGATGGAGAAGAGGAAGAGATGGAGAAGAGAAAGAGATGGAGAAAGGAAGAGATGGAGAAGAGGAAGAGATGGAGAAGAGGAAAAGAAAGAGAAGAGAAGAGGAAGAGAAGAGGAAGAGATAGAGAGGAGGAAGAGACATGAGTAAATGTCAGGACAGTACAAATCCCCCGAAATGTCAGGACGTACAAATCCCCCTAAAATGTCAGGAGGGTACAAATCCCCCCAAATGTCAGGACGGTACAAATCCCCCCCAAATGTCAGGACGGTACAGATATCCCCCTAAATGTCAGGACAGTACAAATCCCCCCAAATGTCAGGACGGTACAGATATCCCCCAAATGTCAGGATAGTACAAATCCCCCCAAATGTCAGGATGGTGCAAATCCCCCCCAAAAGAAATAGAATATGAAGAAGGAGAAGAAATAGAATATGCAGAAGAAGAAAAAGTTGCAACAATAAATCTATTTGTATACATTTCGGATACGGATGTTTCTATTCGGATACAAATAGATACAACGTTGCTATACTTTTAAATGTCAAATATAATATCGGACTGAAATTCTTCTTTTTTCTTCTTCTTCTTCATATTCTATTTCTTCTTTTCATTCATATTCTATTTTTTTCCTTTTCTTCTTCTTTCATGTCACTGCTCATGCGCATTTTTAAATATGGGAAAAAGATCGGCAAATTTGTCAATCATTGCCGCGAAAATCGGCAGAACGACAAATTTGGCTGATTATTTTCCAGCAGGACCAATAATCTAAAAGGTAAAAAATCACGAGAAAACGGCCGACCGATTACCGCACTAATGATCCAAATGATCCAAAGATAGGCCAATTTTTTTTTTCGGCTGATTTTTGGTCGTTTTTCATCTCATCTATGGCCTGCATCACTTAAATCCCCTTTCATCCCCAGCTTGAAGTTCAGCTAGTCGTCTCCACCACGTCTAGAGGCCTAAATGCATTGAGCTGCTGCCATGTGATTGGCTGTTTAGCAATTTGTGTTACCGAGCCATTGAACAGGTGGACCTTATAAAGTGGCCGGTGAGTGTATATTTATATATATATATATATGGGCAGCACAGTGGCTAAATGGTTAGCATTTCCACCTGGCAGTACTCGGGTCGTTGGTTCAAATCCCAACTACGGCACCACCTGCCTGGCGTTTGCATGTTCTCCCTGTGCCTGCGTGGGCTTCCCCCGCAAACTCTGGTTTCTTCCCACACTCCAAAGACATGCTGGTAGGTGAATTGGCTCCTGTCTAAATTGTCCCTAGTATGTGTATGTATGAATGTGAGTTAGGGACCTTAGATTGTACGCCCCTTGAGGGTTAGAGACCTTAGATTATACGCCCCTTGAGGGTTAGGGACCTTAGATTGTACGCCCCTTGAGGGTTAGGGACCTTAGATTGTACACCCCTTGAGGGTTAGGGACCTTAGATTGTACGCCCCTTGAGGGTTAGGGACCTTAGATTGTACGCCCCTTGAGGGTTAGGGACCTTAGATTGTACGCCCCTTGAGGGTTAGGGACCTTAGATTGTACGCCCCTTGAGGGTTAGGGACCTTAGATTGTACGCCCCTTGAGGGTTAGGGACCTTAGATTGTACGCCCCTTGAG